CCATCTCCTATGATAAAATTTAAATGAAAAGTTAATCACAAAAGTTGTTCATTAATCACTATTCACTAATCCAAAGTTTCTTGCAACCATTCAAAAACTAGGTGGCCTAATGGGCTTTGGAACTTCATGTTTGAACTAGGAACTAAATCGGTTCGAGTCGGGTCGTGAAAACCGAAACCGGCCCGAATCATCGGTTTAGGAATTTGCACAACCCGAAACCGACCCGTACTGATGAAAACCCAGCCAACTCGGGTTGGGTCGGTCCGAGTTGGTCGGGTTGGGCCTTCTTATGAACAACCCTAGTTTATATGTACAAACTGTAGTTGATCAAAAGTATATAAAAGTCTTGATAGTTGTGCTTAGTGTAACCGGTCTATCCATCTCTTTGGTTGACTTCTATCTTGCAAAAAATCTATCAGCTGGGATGAGTCACTGTATATCATTATCTTGGATATCTGATGTTGGCTAACTATTTTGAGCCCTTGGATTAGAGCCCAGAGTTCCGCATCATAGCTGTTGATGGCCCACCACGATTCTCCTTCAGCAAAGACTGCTCCTCTATTTGTGCATTGGATGATGAAAGCTCGTCCTACAAGACCTTAGAGTAAGTCATATGATCCAACAGAATATCTTTCCATGCTGCCAAAGAGTAGGGTGGCAAATGGGTGGGTTGGATTGGGTTGGGTGTGGGTTGAGTACTTGACCCACTAACCCATTTGCCACCCATGTGGGTTAGAGTGGGTCAAAACCCACTTTTCTCAAATTGACCCTATAATTCAAATTTTCAAATTATACATTTTTTTCTATACATATAATTATATATTTCAACTACAAAATATAAAATATCAAAATTTTAAAATAAAAATGAAAATGCATAAAATACAATAAATGGCAAAAATATATATTCCTTGTAAAACATCAGATATTGCAGAAAAAATAGAAAAATAATAAAAAATAAAATATAATATAATATAAATTGTAAAATCATAGAAAATTGAATAGAATACGAAAAAAAAATTGTAGGAAAATGCTAAAAATTATAGAAATGCACAAAATTGATAGAAACTACTGAAAACTTACAAATAATAAAATTTTTCAAAAAATATATTTTCATCCAAAAAATCAGAAATTGCAGAATAATAGATTAAATATAAAATCCAAAATATGGTATATTTCAAATAAAAACAATAATAACAAAAACACAAAAAAATGATAATAAAAATCTCCATAAGTTATACATTTAAGGTAAAAATAGAAAAATACAGAAAAATGATGAAAAGAAAAAATACAGAAAATAATCACAAAAAATGATAAAATAATAATCATTCGATCCTCATTATATATTTCAACTAAAATGATTGATAAAAAAACTAAAAATACATAAAATATACAAAAATGATAAAAAATCTCAAAAAAAAGGTTGAAGCGGTGCCTCATAGATTAGACGGTCCTGTCGCACTCGCCAGCATTATCTTGCTCACCCATGTTCTCCTCCTTCCTCCATTCAATCGCCAATGTTTCTCCTCCTTCTTTCGTTCAATAGTTGGCATCATCTTGCCCCGCCCCCTGTTGCTCCTTCCTTCGTTGAATAACCGGCGTCAATCTTCTCTTCTGTTCCTTCGTCGACATCAATATATTTGAACAAGGAAATATCAATGTTATTGATCCAAAGCTCGGGGAGAAGGAATGCCAACATTAAGTTTGGAACGGTGTTTTGAAACCTCTATTTTGCCACTGATCTGAGATCATGGTGCAATGATTCAACAAATTGACGTCATTGCTGGTGGAGGCGAGAATGGTGCCAGTGATTTAAATCAGAAATAACACATTGAGAAAGAAACAACAACTTGAGCAAGCCCTAAATAGTGAGAATGGTGGCAGCGAGAGCGATCATTGGAATGGGTGGGTTGGATGGATTTTGGAGTGGGTGGATCATATGGGTTGGGGTTAAAATTGCCAACCCTACACAGCTAAAGTTTTATCGCTAGTTGGTGACGGTGATAACACGTTGGGTCTTATCTAGGCAAAATTTTATTGTCAGAATGATCAATGAAAGTACTGTATGATCATATCTGGCCCAATCTATCAAAGTCTCTTTTAGGTTCATGATCATCCAAGAAAAGGTCGACTTTTTACTGTCATATGCAATTAAAAAACCGCAATGTATCCACACGTATCATTCCAGCATCATCCTTGTACATGGAACGCTACAAATCCAGTAGTTTCGTTCCGTATTGGGTCGTTTCAGGTCCGTATCGACATATACAGGACCAATACTGATATTTTGAACGTATGGCCGACACATATTGTAATATTAGATTATCCCTCTCTCTCTCTCTCATAAATAAGCCTATTTAATAATTCTTTGTCTCTTTAATAACTCCTACATTTAAGGAAACTTGCCCTAAATAACTCCTAATCCACTATAATTATTACCTCTCTCTTAATAACTCTTTTTCTCTCTTAATTAATAATTAGTTACTACATTTATGACAAGATTCAAATTCAAATTTTAATTTGACCCTCCATTAAAGCAATAAATTCGAAGTTGACATATCATTAAACCAACATATTTAAAACTTCAAATGAGAAAGGTAATGAGGATTGAACCTTGGTAATTTGATTATAATAAACATAAAGAAACCACTACACCATATTCAATTGTTGATTATAATTGTATGTATTATTATTCTTAAACAAATATTTTTCTTCTTAATGGATGTTCATTAAATAATGTTAAAATTGATTATTAAAATTTATATATTAATAAATATTAATATAAATTATATTGATTTTTTGAAAATTAATACACATTTTACTCCAATTATCTTCAAAGATTACCAATTTGTCTCTGTATCTCATATTTTATATAAACTGTTGAGTTATGGGTTTGTATGTTTAAATAACTTGTTTTCTTTATAATTGTTTAAATAGCTTATTTAAGATCATATAAAATTTGTATTTATTGTTATTAATGTATTTTATTAAGATTCGTATAAGTTTCCTAATGTATTCATGCATATCTTGATTTTTCGTATATGTCCATGTGTATCCAAAGCATATCCCAAAACGTCTCTTAAAATTATCTTTCTGATACACCTTATGTTTCCGATACTTAGAACCTTGGTCAGAAGTCAGTTTTTTTTTTTTTTTTTAAAGCCCGTCAGAAGTCATATTGGTATCATAGGGACATTAGACACGATTCATAGGCTCAGTTTGGAAGAGTACAAATGAAAATATGTAGAGTGCAAAATCTTGTATTTTGTATGTATTTGCACTGTATATATTTGTATTTGTACTCATTCCAAACTAAGCCAAAGTGTTCAAGGTCCATCCCCCCTAATATTTGATCCATTTTGAGGAATGCTTGGATCTAATAAGAGCCTGAAGTCAAGCCCACCCTATAGTTTTTCCCTTTCAACTCAAAATTAGATGCTTTTATCGAACCCAGATTTTTATGGCACCCTATCCATAGTACATTGCAGTCGCACATGGATGTGGTTACAATTCAAGGCAGGTAGGATGTGGATAGAGAGTTGAGGCCATGAAATCCAATTTAGCATTTCTCAACTCATTTTTTCTATTTTTATTTGTGGCCCCCATAGGGTACTTGATTTGATTGCAAAACATAGAAAAGTAATAATGAATCCGTTTATTGATACTTAGGCGCTATTATGCATCACATCAGCAAAATAGTGAATAAATGCCTACTCGTTGGGAGAAGCATTAAAATCAAGTTTCCCCCAACGATAAGCACACAAATAAATCAAAACTTGCTTTTGCAAGTCTCTATGCACAGCATTTATTCAATAAAGCCCATGGTTCCAAACACCGTCTAAATGGAACCCACGGGAAAAAAACCATGTTGGTTCACTGCTATAAATGGGGTCTGTGGAAAATAAAATAAAATTTCTTAACCAATACTCTCTTGGAGGATAGATAATTTATTTATCCAGCTGTCAAAAATAACACTCCTGCCTTGCATGGTATCTAGGTAAGTTACCGCCCAAACGAACGCTGTATTTTAAAGGGGAAACTGGAATGGAAAAGTTGGAAAGGGGGGAGAGGAGAATTTTGCTGAAAACAGGAATGGTAATTCTCACTTCTCATAGACTCGCTGTCATTTATCCATTTTAGAAGATGAATTTTGCAATTCAAATGCCATGAAAACCAGTGTTTTCAAAACCGGGTTAGACTGGATGGTTGGACCAGAAAAATCAGAAACCGGTCATCTGATTGGTTCTGTTTTTCACCAAACTGCTTTTGACAAAAAACCGTTAATTTGGTCAGCAAACCATTGACCCAGGTGGTCAAACTATTGAACCATCAATTCAAACAACGGCTTTTGGCCATTTTTTGTTTTCAAATTTTTAATATTTTATCAGAGCAAGCCATCCATTCAGATTGGACGGTCAAACCGTTTGACCTGGGAACCGGACCTAGAACAGTTCCCTGTCCTGACCGGTTTTAAAAACCTTGATGAAAACACTCAAATGAACAGCCACAGATTTACAGTGGTATCACATGAATAGTTAAACACCTACGGTATACGGTACTTAAATCCCACTTCCCTGTAATCTAGCGTTCCAACAAAAATTACCAGGGATAACCCACATCATAACAATTATACATGATAAACTAAACAAGGAAATCCCTCCCCCGCCTAAATAATTAGTCTAAGATCATATTAATTAGTTACATGATCGTGATCTAACTTCCGGAAATAACTTGCCGGAGCAAGCTCTAAATTTAGAAAAGATATGTGAACAACCACCAGCAAAACCATTTGTCATCTGGTCAGTAGAAAGTAGTACCGGCATGAAACTCCAGGTTGATGATACCTAAGCAAAAAAACACGCTTTCTAACACCGTTTAGTCAAGTGAGCCCCTTCTATGGAGAACTGGAGATCAATAAGAGTTATTTGCAAGTTAGAACACTGATGTGATATCATGACTCCAACCTTTTCCCTAAAATAATAACCATGGTTAGCTACTTGTGAGGCTCTAAGTGTAATAGGTAAAGAAATGGGGGAAAAAATAGAAGCATCTGCATTACATACCACTACCAGACCTGTTTGCAGCTTTATGTTACAAAGCTTCAAATTCATCAATCTTCCAGAATAGCACGCCCAAGATTTGTAGCCAGGGCTAGTCTCAGAGTTCGGGGAATGAGGTGGCAAGTCAGCTTCAATAAAGTGTGGGCGTAGCTTTGCCATGGACAGCTCTTGTAGTTTGCTCAATAAAAGGTTTGTCTGTGAAATGTTCAAGAGAGGATGTTCTGGCCAATTAAGCAACTTCAGCTGCAAAGGTACATGAAGAAAATATGTATGAATAGCCAACCCCTAGGTCCAACAAGTAGAGATAACCAGGTCAACTACATCAGCAAGATTAGCCAGGTGAAGCTGGGTTGGCCATTGATGTCAAATGGCATCAAAAATAAAATTAATTTGAAAGTTGGAATAATAACAGTGTTTAGGAAACCGGACCAGACTGGTTGAACCGTGATCCAGGCCCTGCCTGGTTCGGTCATACCTTAAGAATTGGGATTCCTAAAAGCCGATGAAAAGTGGCCGACTGGCTGGTTTAACGAAAGAACTGGTGATGAATTGTAAATGTCACACCAAACCAAACGTGGAGAACAAAACACAATAGATATCCCCTTTGCAGTTGATATGAGCTATGAGACTGTAACACATGGTCAATCCACTGGGTCCTCCATCTCATGGACAGTCTGGATTGACCACAGGGTCTTTCCATGTAGCAGAAATAGGTGGGATCGTGTAGGGAAGCTCCCCCCTAGACCTGATCAGGAAACCTACTACTACTAATACTTAATTGTATGTTTCATGATGTGTTTACACCAAAAAACCTCTCTGCTATTATGCAATATTCTTCAGACCAAAAACCTTTTTTTGGGTAAAATAAAATATTAAAAGAGATTTGAAGGAAAAAGTGCAGGTCTCTACAGATATATTACAAACCTCACGATTTCCTAGCTGATCAAGCTGATAAGATCCATGCAATCTCAACAATTTGACCTAGAGAGAAATAATTCTTTCTTATCATGATTGTTTTATTTTATTTTTTATTTTCATTTTTGTTTTATTGTTTATTGGACAAACAATCTACAATCTTCTATCCAATATATAAATATAGATTCAAAATTCTAATCCTAAATGAGGCAATTTCTTTTGCCATTCAAAATTTTACAAAACAAKGAACCTAACATTGAATAYTGCCARCCTCCTAAAGTTTACAAAACAAAGGGCCTAATATACATTGATGAAATTATAAAGAAGAAGCAAGGAAAAACACAGTCCAGATGATTTCGGCAATGTAAAGGGACCTTGTTGGTTCTAATGCAAGTAAAATTGCAAGGAGGTTTCTTGATTTTTGTATCTATTTGTAAATTCCAATTTGTTGCAACCCCAATCTTAGAAGATTTGTTAGGTCTAACTCAAAAGTTAATGAGGCTGTAATCATTCATGGAGAGAGAGAGACGAGAGAGACAAAGAGAGGAAGAGGAAGATATGATTGGGAGACAAAAAAACCATCTACTTCTGGCTGCCGCCAGTTTAGTTATTTATATTAACTTAATATAAAAGAAATGGGAGATTACAAGTATGCCCCTGGTGGCACTCCCTAGAAACAAACTAATAAGAAAGAAAGAAACTAATTGACTGACAGTATCTTAAGCTGACAACCCACTAACAGCAACTATAAAATAACAATTAAATAATCCTCACAACACTCTCCCTCAAGTTGGACTGAATATGTCTATCATGCCCAGCTTGTCACATAACTCATTGTGCCGTGAGTATGGAAGCCCTTTTGTGAGGACATTAGCAAGTTGTTCCTTGGAGTTGACATAAGGGATGCAAATTTCCCTTTTTTCCAATTTTTCCCTTATGAAGTGTTTGTCCACCTCAATGTGCTTGGTCCTCTCACGTAGGACAGGGTTGTTGGCGATGTTTATGGCTGCCTTGTTGTCACAGTAAAGTAAAGAGACATAGGATTATGAACAACAACTCCAAGCTCCCCTAGAAGATTTTTTAGCCAAAGGACTTCAGCCACCCCATGTGCCATAGCTCTATATTTAGCTTCAGCACTTGACCTTGCTACCACGCTTTGTTTCTTGCTTTTTCAGGTCACTAGGTTTCCTCTCACAAATGTGCAATACCCACTCGTGGACTTTCTATCATCCACAACACCTGCCCAATCGGCATCTGTAAAGACTTCCACCTTTAGGTGATTATGTTTACTGAATAGTAGATCTGTTCCGGGATACTTTTTTAAGTATCTAAGAACTCTCTCTGCTGCCTCCATGTGTGCTTTCTTAGGAGAGTGCATGAATTGGCTTAGAACCCCAACTGAATAGGCAATGTCTGGACGGGTCATGAACAAATAAATCAGCTTTCCCACTAACCTTTGGAACTGTTTCACATCTTTCAGAGGTTCACCATCACAGTCACCCAACTTGTGATCAACATCAATGGGAGTATCTGCTGGCCTTGCA